TTTGAAGGCTGATTTCTCAAATATTGTTCTTTAAACAGCTGTATGTTTAAACTCGTGTAACTTCATAACGAAGTGTCGGATTTAAATGATTCTTTTACCATTTTGTAGCTCTCATTTTACTGTTAAACCCTGTATTAATAACTAAAAATTGATTTTTCCGATGAGTGACTGGTTTGGCTTGTCTTTGCCACATATGCATTACCCAGTTTCTTATTAAGGGAACTTGTTACACAAAAAGGAAAATTAGTAAAGGAAAAACATTATTAGGGACGACAATGTATCACCTGTCATTTTTTCGATTCAAGAGATTATAATTTGTACGTTGCAGCAGTTTCATTTTCATGTATTATATTTCAGTATTTCCCAAAGGAGAAGGCATACGATGTGATGATCATTTAGTTATAACATAAGGATTTAATTGCATAATGTATGTAAATTGATATTTGATCACTAACATGTTTATTTCAAGCTTAAAATTATCATTATCGATGAAAGACCAACTATTTTTAATGAATAGGAAATACTTGAAATAAAGTAAATATTTAAAAAAACATCATCTACAGTCAAATCACCATTAGGCCTAGAAGTAGAACATTTTGTATGTTTGACCAATCAGACAGCAATTAACGAAATTCTCAACGAAAATGCCTTTTTAATATTTAGAATACTGTACATCAAATTCTACTTGGGTAAAAACAATTTTAGACACACAAAATTAATAGGGTATACGATGCATCTCTCCAAATAGAGAAGTCAAAGGTCTACAGGTATTTCAATCAAGCTAATTCATGACAATTTTTTTTCCTGTCTTATGTAAACTAACTCTTATGTAAACTTTCTAACATTTTTTTTTCCATGTCAATTTTTTTTCCTAAATCCTAAGCTTCTGGCAATTTTATTTATTTTGTTTGAAAAAATAACATTTTATTTTAATTTTTTTTCAACCTTACTTCGGTTTCCAAATATATAGTGTGCTGAACAAAATTTATGAATGTAATGGAATTATGAAAATGTCAAAAATATTAGCAAATTATTAGCTAACATTGAGTATTTTCAAATGTGCCAGCAACTCTACAGTGATCAATAGAGGGCAGTATTGCAGAAGCAAAATGGTAATTTTGCATTTTTGTGAAGAAGTTAAATGTTACTAGACTAAACTTGTGTTTTTTAAGTGTTACTGAACTGCAATGTTATTTTTAAGTGCTATTCATTGGTTAAGTAATGTTGAATATGCTTTTGTGAGTGACACTGATTCATGCGTTACCAGATCCCCTATTCTGAATTCAAATAATTTTGACCAAAAAAAATGCAGAGTAAAATAGGAACTCAAATAAATTAACATGGCAACCATGATGCAGTTAGGTTATAGGTCATTTCTTAAAAGACTGATTGACTCATTAATAAAACTTGCTTTTTAAGACCTTCAAGGACTTGTACCTTCCTATTTTAATAAATGTGTTTGTTTATCTAAAATTGATTAAAACACTCAAAGTCAGACAAATAATAATCGTGTGGTTTCATAATTGGAACGTGTCAAGGAAATGCACCTTTCACTATCAAACACCGATGAGGTGCAACAAATTTCCTTGTAACATAATTATGACATTCCCAAATTTCAACCAAAATACTTTTCAAAATTACCCTTCTATTGATTTAATATTCATAATTTTCGACCTGATACAACTGTAAGTTAATTAATATAAATGTCAATAGAAACAGCAGTAACAGTAGCAACGGCAGCAGCAGAAATGACAGCAGTCGTGGCAGCAACGACAGCTTCAGCTGTAGCACAGCAGCAGCAACACAAGAGCTGGAAAATCGATGGCATCATTATCAGTGGGACCATCACTGGCCATAGGCCTGTGGTTGTGTGTAGTCATTGGCAATAGCAGTGGCAACATCAGCAATAACAACAAACCTTACTTTGTTTGCTATTCACCAACAAAAACACTGAAATAATTGCTGCGAAGCAGCCAATTCATATTCTTGACAGTAATTTGACCTCTGAAAGGTCATTGTCAAAAAACAAGGGCCTAAGACAACTGAAAAGCGGAGTTTCCTTCTTTCGTTCTGCCGGGTAAAATCAATTACTTTAGGCGACGTTTGTAGACTAACCAACACGTACCAACGTCTGCATGTCGCGCTAGCCTTATCCTACTCTAGGCCTAGACTAGCTAGGATGGTATAGGCCTAGCTTGAAGGGACGAAGGTCCGAATGAAAAACAATGTCGCTTCTTGATAGCTAACATTGTCTATTTAACATCAAAATAATTCGTTATTAGACCTATAGTTGTTTTTTGAATTGTACTCCACAAATCTCAGCCGATACCTCGCACAACTCGAGTAACGTCTCGTATCTATTGTCGTGACGTCATGGCTCGCTGGCTCACACTTGCGATGTCTCGCACTTGTGATCAACTAACACGTTGGCTCGCACTTTGCCAACACTCTTTGGCAGTCAACTCGCCCCTAGAAAACCCGCCCTTGGAAACTTGCCCCATAAAAAAATGTACACTTCCTAGACCATGCAGTCTTCAAAATAAAAATTGTAACCTTTGGTAATCAACTACATTTTCTACATACATAGAAATTTTTGAAACTTTATTAAAAGAAACCTAAACCATAATTCACCACTATAGACACTTTTTGACAAAAATGAAAAATTACGACTTTGTTACCCAATGAGAAGTGTTCTAATATAGACAATGGGTCATGTCTCATATTATTTGTTATATTATTATTATTCATTATTTTCACTTGACTCCCATAAATAATTTTGTTCGAAGAACATTTATATGCAGTTGTACTTCGCAGCACTTCACTTGCAAATTTTCTAGTATTAACAGAAAGGATTACTTTGGTGTAAAGCTAAGCAATTGTTGCGGTCATCGGCCGACACGATTCTATGGAGAATGCAATAGCACGACACGAGGGCAACGCATCATTTTTAATCACTATCTGTACAGACTGCCACCAACAATCTTTGCATCTTCTAGCGCTCACAGGGAGCAGATTTGGATTTGTCGGCTGACGGTTGTATGACCGTCGTACGATGCAATGAGCACCCGGCTTAACATGCCATGGACAACCCACATTGACAGTCAAGGAAATCATTGATCAAACTGAACCAGGGACCAAGAGTCTGACAGATTTTTACAATTCAGTGCACACATAATAGCTTTCACAAGTTAGCAGACTGAGCTCCTGTGCGCCACTCTCAATAGCAATAGTTAATAATAATAATAAGGTTAATAATAATAATAATAAGGCTGAATGCTAATTTCTAAATGTGCTTATGACTTAGAATTTGTAATAATCACAATATATATAAAAATAATGTAATGTCATGATCATACATCCAATTAATTCTAATTGTGTTGATTAGCATACAAACAACAAGCAGCATCATATGGTTGCTATCTTGTTATTTCTTGTCGACATTCTCATACTTGATTGAGAACATTAATTATGTCCTATATATGGTCTATTTGCAGAATAGATGTAAAATACAAATCTTGAATAGAAGCCCTCTGGGCTTAATGTCGAGAAGAAGCCCTCTCTTCAGTTTGCAAAGGTAATTTCGAAAAGAAGCCCATCTTGAAAAGAAGAACATACCGGTAGGTGTCTAATCAAGATAATATGGGCTTCTTTTCGAGATTTCAGACTGACGTTATCATTGATTATTAGTAGGGTGTCAGTATCAATATTATTTTATTATACTAACATGGTTAAAATTTTAAAAATTTTAATTCCAAAGTTGAAAAATGTTGTGAAGTAGAAATTCCAAAATTTACTACTTTCATTTTGAAAAGTACCCCTTTGTTAGTTTGCAAAAGTAATATCGAAAATCAGCCTGTCTAAGGGTTGTTAAAAAAATAAGAAGCCTGGGGCTTCTATTCAGGGTTTTAGGGTATATAATTAGTATCAAATTTGATATAAGAATAGTTTAAAATTTTACTGTCTTATGTTGAGCTTATAAACTTGGGCAAAATTAAATATTCAACTTTTTTTTTAATATAATTTGTTTTAACTTAGAAATAGGAAAATAAAGTACAGATTAAAATTAAATACAATTAAAATAAAAGATAAAATGACTACTACTAATTACTGTATTTTGAAACATTGATTAGATTGATAAATACAATGAGATTTTTGAAATATAAATTTTGTGGGTTTTTATTATTTTGGTTCGAGAAAAATACTCTAGGCCTAAAAAATGTATAGTAAGTCTATTGTAGGTGTGTTAATGTTTCTGACACATTTACCATACAACTGTTAACAGAAGCACGTTTGGAGTGCGCAAATGGCCATATGTGTTAATGTTTTAACGCACGTCTCAAACCAACACCCGATTGACATCTACTAATACCCTATTATCCGCAACATATCTGTCACTATTACATCAGTTAACTACGAAGCTGAGGATGAGTGGCACCACAGTTCTGGCACCCTACCGACTCCAAATCCAAGAGATCAACAGATAATATACAGGATGTGTTCGCAATACTCACTCTTAATAGATGACATAAAAAAAAAAGATCCGTCAAATAAATTGATCTGTTTCCCTTTTGAAATCCCTTCAAGTCAATATATTTTAGAAAAATGTACCTTAAATTTAATGCTAATTCTACAATAAACTGAATATTAAAGATAAGGAAATGTGTTCTGTTCATGTATCCTATATTTTCATTTGATGTGATTTTTACTTTACAGGCCTAAGTAATTAAATATCTGAAGTAGGAAATATCAGGCTGCCACTTGTATTTCAAAAGCACAGGCAAACAAAATTTGAAGACTTCAATATGTCTTATCTGTTTCATTTTCATAATAAATTTAATTTTTCTAATTATGTTAATATTAGGAGGTATTATTTCTGTCTAATTTTGTAAAATCAACATTGCCACGGTGCACATATGGTTATTTGAGGTACAGTATTTTTTTTAATTTGTAATTATTAAAATTGTATAATCACAGAATGATTAAATGAATGAATGATTTACCTGTAGCCTGAGTTGGGCCATGTCCCTCATCAGTTGGTTCCTTCTCGTTTCTTCTTCCGCCTGTAAGTTAAGAGAAGCAAGAGAACTTTAATAAATACCAGTACAAGTTATCAAAATTAACTATATGTGAAGTAGTAATTTGTTGACAAATAGAAATACTATAATGTAGGTTGAAGTTCAATGATTAACATTTATATACACAGTATAATTCACAATACAAAATGCATAATAATAAATAATAAATAAACACCATGTGTTATTCAATTCATTTAATCAATATTAAATCCTGTCCTGTTTCCCTATATATTTTCCCAATATATTTTCATTAATTTTATATATTTATATGTAAATATTTCATTACAGAATACATTAAATGCATAATGCCTACTGTATTACAAGTATTTCCACCTGAAAACAACACAAAATATTGTTACCATTAACTGACTACAGAATTGCATACAAATTTTAGGGCACATTACCATGAACAAAATATAACTTTTACAAAAAAAAAACAATAACAATATTTTTTTCCCTTCACAATTAAAGTTAAAAGCATTTGTCGATCTGATCACTGAATTATTACATCAAAGCATCACATGCATTATTCCAGCATATTGAAGGCAAAAGAGCACCCCTCCTACTTTTATTAGAAGTTTAAACTTAATTGTCTTCTAAATGAGTGATTCAGTGTTTTAATTGTATTTTATGAGTGGTTTTTTTATTTCCAAATTTTACCATACAGTATATATCTTGAACAGAATATTAAGAATTTAGCATAGTTCACTCTGATATTTCTCCAACTTGTAACATAATTAAGAATGTCAAAGGTCATCTCATTGGAGTAATGAAATATAATTCAACTACATAAATACTTAGAATTGTAAATTGATCTTCAGCGAGTTGAAACGTTTCCTACAATTTGCCTTCAAAGATAATTTGAGTTAAACTGAGATCAGCTGAGTCATATCCTTACCATAACATCACCATTGGCAATTGCTTAATGAATAACTGTTAAGGTCAAAAGTAACATAACTTAATGGATCTAACCCCATATTAATTCTTTCATACAAACATTTCCATTGGACTGTACACACTCAATAAAACATGGAGGTTTGACATACTACTTTATACAGTAGTACACATTTTCTATTCTTAAGTATAGTCTTAGATGCTGTTAGGCTGCTGAAGAGACCTACCTGGCAAATGAATAGCAGCTACAAATAACTAGCTGGCCTAGGTCTCCCATTTGAAAAGGTACAGCCAAACATGAAGCATGAAGCTTTAGGCTCATAAGCTGAATGATGAGTGATTCAATAATTTTGAGGGGATTTTACCATAGGCCTAAATTATGTAGAATTGTTTTGTCTGTTGATATTTATACTTCCGTTGATGTTATGTTAAGTTCACTTGCATGGAAACGACTACATGTAAGGTGGAATGAACAGATAGCCTTAATGACTTTTAAATGTTTAAAAGGGTATGCGCCATCTTATTTATCATCTCTAAATTTAAATTTAATATCGAATCCCATTCAAAATGTACACGTAGTCAATCTCATAATAACCTTTTTGTACCACAATGGAATAACTGTCAAGGCAAGAGAACTTTTTTGTATCGTTCAACAAAGTTGTGGAATGAACTTCCACACAAAACAACAACAAATTTCATGAACATGTCTATTATATTTTTTAAAAACTCTTTTAATTCTTATTCACTTTTATTATGATATCTATTTATATATATGTATGTTTTTTAATTACTTTTCTTTTAACTTTTGTATTTTATGAAACTGTACCACTTTGAAAAACAGTACACAAGTACTGAAAGTGCATGCAGTAGAAAGACAGAATAAATAAATAAATAAATAAATAAATTGTGTACTTTTAATCATTTATAGTAGGCTAAAAAAAGAACAAAGAAAAAGGGAGCCCAAAAATGGAGCAAGAGAAGAAAAGGTAATCAAGGAAGGAGGGAAAAGAAGAGGAAGAAGTGAAGGATGGGGATATGCAAGAAGAAGAAGTGGAAAAGTAGGGGGAATGATAAGGATGAGGTGAAATACTGTTGGATAAGGCAGAAGATGAAAAGAAGGACAGGAAAAAGAAAAGAGAAGAAGACAACATCATTCTTTGTGATCATCGTCATCATAGAAGTGGATTGTTGAGCTAGCATTGATGGTGTACAGATGATGATTGAACACTTATTTTTTATTTATTCTTTCTTTATACTGAATATATGGTACTGGTTTCCAAAGTGGTTCAGTTCTTAACTACAAAATTTTAAAAGCAGATATATACATATGGTAACCGAAAAAGGTGGATAACTTAACTACAAATTAATCTAAAAGGAACATTGAAAGAAACTTTAAAAAAATTTAAATAATAAATACAGATATGCAAGGTAAGAGAAAATTTAGGTTAAATTATGTATTGCCAAGGCATGTTGATAATGGTGTAGTTAGGTTAGGTTTTAAAAACTTTAATTTGCAATTTTAGACATGTTTCAGGTTTGCTTTATAGCTTAAGTGTAAGTATTAATGAAAAGTTACAGATTGGGGGCGCCATTTGTCTCCTGCTAAAAATCATCCAGTGCTCCATGGTTCAATGGGCTACATACAGTATGTGCAGTACTGTCCTATTTATGAAACATGGTTGTAGAACCAGTCAAGATGATGTGTTTCCAAGGATTGGCACTTCTCATCAGCATGTGGTATGAGTCCACACTAGTTAACTAGAAAATGTTGTAAACATGGGTAATGGTTCTGAGTATTCAATTATGGCATCTTTAATGGTGTTGGCCTCCTTGAATAATTTAATTGGTTTATTAACTGTTGGTGCTGGAATAAGCTCGCCATCTTATTTTTTTGCAAAAACATATCTGCGTAATTTCGGCAAAATTACAGATTATCCTTACGTATTATTCTTTGAATTTGGCACATTAGTTTCTGTCTTATTTTTTCAAGATGATTCGATAGAAGTTTGGCTAAAATGTTTGCACAACAGACCCCTATTTCTTAGACTGGTACATCCCGTACATTAGGCATAGAGAATAAAATTACCAGTAATCTGTAAGTTTCAATTTTAAATTAAATTGAATTTGATGTTACTTCCGAAGGCATTATTCAAAGCAACTGTTCTTCATAATCATCATCTTCACAGAGCCATATCTTGTTCCTAATTGACTTATTATGAACCAAATCTACTATTTGCAAATGTATACAAATTCCCAGGGTCTAGTTTCAGTCATGAACTGGGCTCTGAAACCATGATAATAATATAAATATTTAAATTGCAGGTGTAAATTTAAATACCAAAAATAGACTGGGTTTAGGACATAGGACCATTAACTTGATTAGCGAGGTCTCCTTGAGAAGGTTTGCACAAAGGAATAAACCACATGCCATGTCTCACCAAACTACACCACTCAGCATGCAAACAACAAGCCATGTTTCCCACAATTCAATTCAACATCAGTGACTATACTAACTATCAAAACACACCTATCTCATTACTAAGCACTGCCCACTATTTTTTCTAAGACTAAGCCACACCTATTTCATAACCACAGTATTCGTCATGTGATAACTCTAAACCAATGGTAATTGATAGCTTTGAGTAGGTAAGCATCATCACTACAGTGGTAACTCTATCCTCCTCAAACAAAAGACATTTTTGGCCAAAGCTTGTAATCATAGGTTTAACAGCATAAATCAAGGCTGAACGATTTGGAAGCCCATCAGGGGAGTTTAATGGTGGGCCTAGAATGATCAACAGCTGTATAACAAATATCCATCAAACTCACCAATTAATCCAGGACCGATACAAAAAAAACCAAAAAAAAAACAATCCAATCATAACATAACAAAATTAACTTATCTCAAGGGACAAGCACTGATTCTCAATTCACATAACATATCTGAATTAATAGCAGTTTAATCGGCTAAGGAAATGGCTTAAATATATACCTTTCCTCATTCATTCCATATTGACAGACATGCATATATTCAGCTAAGAAGGTATTCTTGATTCAACCCCCTCCACTAATAGTAGGAATTACAAGTGAAATGGACAGTGTGGGTCCTTCCCACTCTCCTCCCCTACCCCTCCCCCATCAATATTAATCCACACATTTATCTGGTGCCTTTTCATGGTTCTGCCACTGGTTACTACAATCATCATAGCATCCCTTCTGGATTAATTGTATTTTAATAATAATATTCTAGTTTAAGTTCATAGGATAGGAGGAGAAATATCGTTCTTTTGTTACAATCATCTGAGATAGTCGCAAGATTATATTACATCAACTGTAAATATTTATGTTACATTAATCAGTTTTGTCTGACCTAAACACAACCAGACCCATGAAATGTCAAACCTGGTCACTGATTCTGAATATTTGATAATGATTAGGTTTTTCCTATGTTGGTTGTTGTGGATTTTATAATATTGTTTCTTTTCAAAATATTGGTTTTGGCAGTAACCATAGATGCAAGTTTTTATTCAAATACTTGATAATATAAAACAACTTCCTTGTTCCTACAAATATGAGTACTGTATGTTTCAAAATAATGCTAAAAAAAGAAACGAAGTTTTGACTTATCATGAAAATGATGGGAGTCAAGATGGAATCAAAATGTTGTACCTTTTTATAAAGTGATATTTTCATTGCTCTTATCATTTGAATTTGTGATTATTTTAACAGCATTAAAGAGGATTTTCAAGTAAAGGGCCTGTTTCTACTGGAAAGAAAATATCGATTATAAAATCGCATTTTCGAAAAATCGCTTTTTTTTTCACAGTAGAAAAGAGACCAGCAATTATCAGGTGAAATGTAACCTATACGTCAAACCACTGCAAAGCTAGGTTGTATCACGCACGAGCTTTCAAAATGATTAGTCCTCTTGTTCATGTCCTAGGCCTACAAGCTAAAACGTCAACAAACATGTGGAGCAACGAAATCGTTTTGTAATTATTTTGTGGGGGAATACTGGGTCTAGGCCTCTCCGCTCTTTTGGGTCTATCGTTGTCCTCATTTGTTTGGTCGTCTGTTGTGCTGATGAGCACAGCCTATTAAGCATTCACCTTCTTGCCACACACCGCATTCTACTCCTCGTCATTATGACTGGAATTCATGTGAAGTATATCTTGTTGGTGATAAAGAAACTATACAGTTTGGAAAACGTGTTGTAAAACGTAAAAGCAAAAATGCAGTTGCAAGGCGGGCAGGCTGTCTAGCACTCACTAAAAAAGTGGTTAAGAAAATTGTTTATCAGTAGAAACATGCCCAAACATAAACCAACTACTATCTCCATTGATTCATTTCAGTAATAAAATAGAACAATATACATTATTACCTTCCAACTGAAAATTAGACAATTCTTTTTGCACTAACAACTGAAGATGCTAAAACAGTACACTAGTATTCAAATAATTTTTGTTGTCGACCCACAGGTTGAATTAAGACCACTATCCGGTTGCAGCTATAGGTAAAGCTAAGACCGGTTCTTCGCATTTGCACGTTTAGGGTGCGTGGGAGCACATGCTCCAACCAAAAAAAAAAACTCATGCTCCCCCAGTCCCGTCCCCCCCCATTGAAAAATTGAATCATCAAGGGGCCTCACTTTACCTTCGTCCTCCATCAGCCCTCCCTCCATTAAAAGAATTCAGCATAAATAGAGTACTTGTCTTTGTCGTTCCAAGCACAGTAATGATTCGATGCCAAAGAACTGTTCTTTGGAATTCCAAAAAGAACAGTCCCTTTTTATAGGGCATTTTCTGCTGACAAAGAGAACCTTTCTTCTTAAAAATGGTTCTTAAAAATGGTTCTTAAGAACTGTTCTTTTGCCAGTAAAAACAGGCCTTAAAGAGATTCACAATTTGAAAAGAAATGTCTTTCAACACTTTCTATGATACTTCACAGGGGAATTAGGATCACAATTTTATTATGGGAATCTAGAGTCTTCATTCAACTTTGTTTTTACTTTCACCTTGAAATATTTACACCTGGTGATGACCTGGGACACAACACAAGTGCTGTTTAGACAATCCGTCTGATTCTTGAGGTCTGCCTCCAGGAATTTTAATACAAATAAAAGACATGTTTAGCTGAGACTGGAATGTAGAAGTTAATTGCTATAAAATATGACATTGATACCTCATGAAAGCCACAGGGACAACTTAGCTGGAAAAGCTAAACATTTTTTCAAGTTGTCACTATCAACAGGTGAAATATCATTAAAATGTTTTGTGAGGGGGAAGCCACAGGGAAACCTAGGCTTCGCCTTCATATCAACCCATACATCATGAAATACACAGAGATAAAATGACCTATAATTTATCAAGAAGCATGGAAATAATCTACTGTAAACATTTTTTTGAGTTGTCACTATCAACAGGCGAAATGTGTCTACATCTGTCATTCTGCTGAAAGGAAGAATCAGTCAAAAAAATCCCCTTTCCCATCTCAACTGCCTCCACAATAAAGTCATCATAAAATGTCAGTGAGCAGTGTTATTCTGCTATTCATAGCTTAAAAATCAGGCTAATCATTTGGAATACTGGCAATGTTTGTCACCTACTGTACACTGGATCTGAGATGGGACAATTGCTGCTTTTTAATACTGCAGTTCAGAAGTTTCATTATAAATTCTAAAATGATTGATGGTCCACATTAAAGATTGTTCATTCTGATTCTTTCTTTTTTCTACTTTTGACCTAAGGTACAGAATTAAAAAAAATCAATTATAAAAAAGCCCCTATAAATCTTGATTCAACATCCTTTTCTAAAGTAACAGCATATACGATGAAGTATGTATTAATGTTTAAAACCCCCTTTGGATTTTATCAGTTTCCTGGGCAGAATTATATCAGGCAGTGTATTAAGCCCTGCTTGAGGTAATAAAATTACATGCAGGGCCCACTTGAGTCCCAGAAGAGAATGCAAGCACTTAAGACCACCCTGACTAGTATTCACAGAAAAAATAATCAACAATCTGCTATTTTGGTGATTTTATTAACTTGCTTGTGACCAAACTAAAGTTGTCTTTAGGAGAGTCCATTACTAAATAGGGGTGGTCTATTTTCGTAACATTATACTATAAAGAATTTAAAGCTTTAAAAATAAATGAAATGGAAAAAAAATAAGAGGTATAAAACTTGTGGTGCCAAATTTGGCCGCATTTTCTCACTCCTTTGTTGAAAAAATTGGTAAAAAGCAAAGGCATTATGCAATAATTGCTCAGTATACAATATAATATTTTAAATCAAAATGGTAACCATCCAATTTCTGGAAAAAGAATATTAGAATCTTATTACTAAATTTGCATTTGATAATTTCCCCTGGAAAACTTTTCTTCTACAGTAATTTTTAATTATCAAGGAAACAAAACTTACTAAATCATTATACAAAACATTTCAAATGGAAGTTTATTTGCTCACCACATTAAGTAGGTCACCTATATCCTTAGCCACAAGTGAGAACAATTTTGATTACACACAGATCTTTATTTTATTTATACTAATGTATTGGCCTACAGGGTCTGTTTGCCTGAAAATAGACAGCAAAAATGGCATTTAAAAATGAGTTTGAGAACTCCGAAAGGAAACGCAGAGTCTGCACTGATTAACTAACATCAGGACAATATACTTCATGGCATCATAAAATCATGTGAAGATGGGTAAAATTTCAAATGGCTACTGCTGAAAGTCAAAGAGATGTAAAAAAAAGATGATGTGGACAGCTAACAGTAGTCTTTTTACAGAGCACATGTCACCTAGAATTAATGTCTGGAACAATTACGAGATATTAAATGTCCTTATTTAGCCTAGATTTTGCAAAAGGGGACAGTATATCAAGCATTCTGCCTTACCCTTTGACAAGATGTCTTAAATCAAAACTACTCTGCTTATAAATCTAAAAATATGGAATCTGTTATTAATAATCAAGTGTATGCAAATTATATTTCATCTTGTATTTTTTTTATCTCTGTTTAACATTAAGCCTTATAAAAAAACATGTTTCGTGTCTAGATATTTTCTTTATAGGAGAAAAAGGTCATTTCATTTATAATTTGAAAAAAATGTGTTTCTTAGAAAGCATTTATAAAATAATTTTCACTATAGTTACAAAACGCTTGTTTATCCTATGTCTTTCGTCAAAACTCTTGTTGGAGTGAAAATAAATATCAGTACACAGGCCCGTAGCCAGGGGGGTTTTTATGGTTCGGGCGAACCCCCCTTTTCTAGCGAACCCTCCTGTTTTCTATCGAACCCCCTCAAATTTTGAATGAGTCCCACTCGGACGGAATGTCTGTTTTTTAATTACCCAGCATTAAATCAAAATTTAGCACCTAATTCATTATTTGATCACCCATTTTTAAATTGTAGCCAGCGATACAAAGCCTACATTCATAGAATATCTCAGCTTCAGAAGTTCGGAGATTTAAATT